TGCTCCCCCCTAATGCTGGCCCAGGCTTTTATATGCAGAAAAACAGTTGTGGTGGCACAGGTAGGCCATGGAGTTTTTATAGCATGTTGAGAGGGCCTCCGAAAGAAAAAGATTGAGAATCCCTGGTATAGGCAGCATATAACCCAGAGTCTGGCAGAGTTGTTGACTCAGTTTGCTAACTAGGACTGCTTTCTGAAGCTAATTTTTGAAGCTTTTCACCAGAAAACTGTCTCACAATCTGCTTTTCAGAATATGGATAACAAAACTGATAAATTTAATTACGGGGGTAAATATTTAGCCATCATTTGATACCTGGAAGTACAAAGCAAAGACTTGGACCAAAAAGTGAAGAGGTGTAGGAGGAGGAAACAGAAGTTAAAGCAGAAGAGAAGTAAGAGATGGCTTGCAGATGCAAAGGTCTTGCTAGAATTGGGGTTCTAGGGTCTTGTGATGAGGCTTCCCCTTTCAAGGTTTTGAGAGAAACATGTATTTCCATTGTGATGTAAAACTTTCCTAGTAAGAACCATTTTCTTCTAACTGAGTACCCTGTCTTGTGTTTAAATATATTTCTTTTCCCCCACCCTCAAATTTGTCTCTGCTATCTGGAATCCTTAGAGTAGATTTTATTTCCTATTTTGGTTGTCATGTGAAGAAACTTGTCCCCCCTATTTCTGCCTAGAAGCAATATCAGCATGCTTTTTCTTATACTTGCTCTTGAAGGAGATGTACAGTAGCAATTTAAAATACCTGATTTGGCATGTAAATGAAGCAAAATGTTATTTGGCTAGTGGCATCTTAAAGACTAGAGTTTATTTCTGACAAGGAGGTAAAACCAAAACTGTCTTAAATTTCTTCTGTATGACAGCAGTAAGTGGAAAAAACAAGGTTTCTGTAGGGATGTTGCCAATGGGCATTTCCCACAGTTTTACTTCAAGACATATTTGCTTTGATTGAGTCCATTCAGACTTTTTTTTTCCTACATGCAGCGACCCACTAGGTACTTTTTCTGTTTTCTGTGGTGCTTAACAATGACAGGGAGCAAACTATCGTAATTTGATTTCTCTAATAAAAATTCCATAAAAACAATTGTAGGAGATTGCTAACACATCATACAGAGTGCTTATCTAGCTAGAAAGGGTCACTGTACATATGGGTAGGACAAAAGGAGATGACATTGGCTGTACAAGTATAAGCACTGAAGGACAGACAGTAGACAAATGTGAGGTCATTGTGGCCCCCAGGAAGTAATGCCAAAATGTTCTCTCTCACTTGTCTGTCTTTACTATTCCTTTTTCATTGACACACCGCCAAGCACTCTGCTCAAGGCAGACTGGAGTCTTAATTAGCTTGCCCATCTCTTCTATTGTGGTCACAACAGCAGGGCTTTTTTTAAAATGCCTTGTGAGAAATGTCAGTGCCACAGATACATTCATCACTTTAAAATATTCTGTTTATTAATATAAAAAAATTAAAACAAGATTTGGTACTTGGGCTGAATTGCTACTTCAGTGTTTTTTCATTTGTCAGAGGGAAAGCACACTGTTAATGTCTGTCACAAATTGTCCAGGGAAAGAGAGTTAACACTCCCTACTTAATTTCTTCATATTTTAAAACACAAAACACCATTGTAAGTAGTTAGGGTTGCTATACACATAACCTACCTGGCTCAAACCCACAAAAGTGAGGAAATGAAAAATTAGGTTACTTAACAGAACTTACCCTCTATACTTTCTCTCTTCTCCCTCCCCCTGGAATCATCCTACTGTTCTCACAATTTACTGTACGCTGCAACTTTAGCTCTGCCCCCAGTTCTCCACACCACACACCTCATTGCAAAATTAACCACTGCTAATACAGTTAGTAGTGGATGTTTGATCAAGCTATGTGTTGTGTGGGTGGTCAACCTGTGGAACTCCTTGCCATAAGATGTGAAGGCCAAGACTATAACCGGGTTCATATCTTCATAAGTTCATGGAGGATAGGTCCATCAATCGTTATTAACCAGGATGGGCAGGAATGGTGTCCCTAAGCTTCTGTTTGTCAGAAGCTGGGAATGGGCGACGGGGATGGATTACTTGATGATTACCTGTTATGTTCATTCCCTCTGGGGCACCTGGTATTAGCCACAGGATACAGGGCTAGATGGACCTTTGGTCTGACACAGTAGGGCCATTCTTATGTTCTTATGGGTAATAGAATTCTCGCATAAGGTTGTAGGTATATACTGTTAGGTGGTTTAATTTTAGCAGCAGAACCTGCCCTGTCTTGCAGTGGTTGTGTTTTCACACTTTCACCTTGAAAAAGCTGCCATATTGCTCTGTTACCTTGCAGCAAGAGAACTGTCATCCTAGAATATTGTGAAACATTGGGAACCAGATATCTAAACTGGACTTTGAGCCTTACTACAACTTGGAATAGGCTAATTTAACTCCTGGAGGTTTTCCTTTGCCTCCACCCTCCTCTTTGCGATACAGTAGTGGCTTCCCTCTTCTCTACCCCCAAGGAGTAACGGTATAGGGGAGAAAGTGAAATGGTATCTGTTCATGGCCATGAACTGAATCATTGTGTTGAAAGACAGCTGCATGGTTTGCTCCCAGGAATTTTTCTCCAGCAGCCAAAGGGTCCAATCGCTTGGAAGGCAATCCACAAATCCTGGTTCCCTCTCCTCTGTTGTCAGCCAACTCTCAGGCAAAGACAATGTAGGGCTGCCTGAGTGGCAAGTAGCTTCAGCAATGATTCCTATGGTATCCCCAGAAGCAGGAGCAGATGCAGTACTTCTTTACTGTCAAGGTTTTAAAAAAAAAATCAGCCTTGAAGTTGAACTAGCTGTGAGAGGGGTTCTCAAACTGGGGGTCATGACCCCGCAGGGGGTCATGTGGTTATTGTCTGGGGGGTCATGAGCTGTCAGCCTCCACCCCCAAACCTACTTCACCTCCAGTATTTATAATATTAAATATAAAAAATGTGTTTTTAATTTACGGGCGGGGGTCATCTCACTCAGAGGCGTGCTGTGTGAGAAGGGGTCACCAATTCAAAAGTTTGAGAACCACTGAGCTATGAGCAGTCTAATGTCCCCATGTTTTTACTGAAACATTCTTAAATGTCTTCCATCATGCACCTACTCTTACCTTCAACAGTTCCTTCCGTTCTTTCAGTCACTGGGCTGCTCCTTATCCTCCCACCTGTTCCAAGCAGGTAGAATGAGAATGAGGCAGAATACCTCCAGTCATTTTTAGAAGCCAAAAACACCCCATCCTAGTAGGTATAAAAGGGGGGTATTTGATCAGTGGGCCTGGAAGTATCTACTCTGTCATTTTGCTCAAATTAAGTCCATAGGAAAAAAATGGTACAGTTCAGATATTTGCAGAGCCCTCAGTCTCAGAACAGAGTCCGTTAGGAAGTCGGCATTCCTCTTCTCTTTCACTTCTGAATGGTAGATTGTGAAGAAAGGTTCTGAATTGACTGTACCTGGATGGATGAAACTGTACATAGCACGGGAGTATTTGGAGTATTTTTTGGTAGTGAGTATAATCTGTTAATACTACACTATACATGTGCTGAATTACATAATCACTCTAAACAGGACATTATTTTTTTAGAAAACAAACTATAATTCGCAGAAAGAAAAGGAGTACTAGTGGCACCTTAGAGACTAACCAATTTATTTGAGCATAAGCTTTCGTGAGATGCATCCGATGAAGTGAGCTGTAGCTCACGAAAGCTTACGCTCAAATAAATTGGTTAGTCTCTAAGGTGCCACTAGTACTCCTTTTCTTTCTGTGAATACAGACTAACACAGCCGCTACTCTGAAACTATAATTTGGCACACCTATTTTATATTAATTTAGCACTGAAGAAGCTGGAGTTCTTTTAATGACTTGTTAAGCATTTATTTAAAAAGGGAGAAAACAGCAGATACTTATAACTAAAGAGGTAGATGACAATACTGGATTCTATCAAAAATCTTAGTGATAATTTTGTTCCACTAATTTTGCTGACTCATTTTAAAAAATAATGTTTTAATAGCTTTTTATTTGAAAATTCTCTTCTCTTTTGACATAGAAATCTTGGGTTTAAATATATAATTCCAGTAATTGGTGTAAATAACAAGTAACTAAGCATCTGCAGATGTGTTTCTGCTATCTCTTCATGTAGACTTCAAAAGTAGCTGCCTCTATGGATTCTTCGCAGCAAGAGGTGGCAAATCTGTTTGTCAGCGTGAGGAAATGGAAACAATGATTAAGATAGTTGGACTAACAAGAGTTACTGGAGCTAATGGTTTTACTTGCAGCGCAGTACAACATAGATAACACATTTTTAATACACAACCATACAAATCAAGGAAATGGTAGGTAACCTCGGAATCATTTTGCAGTGTCCTTGTTTATATCTACTGTCTACTATTGTGCAGTTTTATCAAAACACAAAATTTGGTAAATCATAAATAGTGAAAACAATTTAAGCTCCAGAGCCTACCATATAAACATAAAAGGATTCCCTTTAGGGGGCTTGGAATCCTTTGAATTATGCATGTATTGTAGTTATCAGTAAGATAAAAGGGTTCTGGCAAAAACAAACAAAAAAAAAAGGCAACTTTCTCCGCCCCCAAGGGATAATACGCATAATGGGGTGAAGAGAAAGTAAACAGCTGAAGCAAAAAATACCCCATGATTACTCATGAAACCTTATAAAAATGAAATAAAGCAAATCAAATAAGATGGAATTAAACAATGCTGGCACATTTAAAACGTGCATTGGTTCTAAAACCACCAACAGAGGTGAATCCCAGAGAACTCTGACAATCTAGATAGATTGAAAAATTGACATCTTCAGGGAAACTAATATGAGAGAATTTAAAGAACAGAAAAGCTAAGGAAATGGAAGGCCATGAAGTGATTTTTGCTTTTGTAATTCCAAAGTACTTCGTTTGTGAACAAGGCAGTATCACCTGAAAGCCTTTTTTTAATATCTTGTTCTAATCATAACTTCTTGTCTTACAGCTACAGGACCGCACACAGTTTAGTGACCGAGATTTAGCTACTCTCAAGAAATACTGGGACAATGGCATGACCAGCCTGGGCTCAGTCTGCAGAGAAAAAATTGAAGCTGTTGCTGCAGAATTAAATGTTGACTGTGAAATAGTGCGGGTAAGAAATGTACAGTCTCTCCCTTCTCTTGTTTCAGAAGCAAAAATAGCATAGATAAAAAAAACCTTTTAAAATTGCTTGAGGTAGCCAGAAATATATTTCACCATATTAAATAATGAATGGCCTGCAAGGATGTACTCTTGACCTTTCACCAGTCTATATATAGATAAAAGCCCTCAGGTGATTTTTTAAATTTCTTTCTTTCTTTCTTTCTTAGCAGCAAGAGCAGCTTTACAAAAATTTGACATTCCATTTAGAGTGGAATTTATATAAGATTTTAAATGAGCAGGACTATCCCAGCAGATTGAAAAGAACTAGCAGTTATGATGGGACTAAAATACAAAGTCCCTCTAGGGATAAGAGAATGCTTTTGGTGTAAAATCAAAAACATGTGAAAGAAATTGATCAAAATGGGCGGGGGAGAAATACTTTGCAGGAACCAGGACAAGATGTGATAAAGTGGGCAAAGGATATTCTGAGGGATACTGGGGAATTTCCATTTAGTAGTCCACATAGTCATCAATGATTTTCTTAGGGAAGAGAAATGAATACAGGGTTGATGTGGTTGATCATTTTAGAGAGCCATGCAATATAATTGAAGTAAATAGTAAAATGTTACTGGACACCAGTGAACAGACGTTCCAGAGGTGTAGAGAGGAATGCAATCTTGGGGGCATTCTAAAATATCTGGATTTCAGGATCTGTTCTACCTTAAACTTGGAATGTGGATACTACAGCAGAAGACAGAACTGCAGAATTGTGATCAACATGATGGTCACATATGGGTAGAGTTTATACAGATGCATCATTCCCATGGGTTAGGAAAGTGATAATCTCGTCATTCAATACTAGTGAAATTCTGCCTAAAGTAAAGCCTAAAATTCTGAGCCCTGACTAATAGAAAGTCGGGAGGAATTTAGAGCAATTAGAAGTGGAGGAATTGACTTAAGAGTTCACAAATATTGAACTTGGGTTTGCCAAATCAAGTGATGGAAGTTCTTTTGCCTTACTGTTTTAGAGTAATTGGAGAAAAATGCAGGACAGTATAGTGTAGAGAACAGTCTTTTATTAGCAGAAAGATGGACGTGACAAGTTACTTTGACCTTCACTTTTCATGGTTCTGACAAGTAGGTGTTAATCACAGGATTATTTTTTTATCTTGAGTCCAAGCTAACTGTATGACGATCTTTCATTTTAGTTAACTTGATGTTTCATCATCTTTCTTTAGGAGCTCTACTAAGCACTAATGAAAATATTTATTATTTAGTTAAGTAGCATTTATAGTTTTTTATAAACTATGTGGGGGGGCATGCATAAAATTTTCATCATAAATTGAAATATACACAAGCACTTAAAGGAATGTTTCATTTGTTGTAATTCTGGAATTTTTGGATTAAAGGCTTTTTACCATTGTGTGACCAAATTTTTTTTATTTCCTTTTATGTAAATTTACTTAAATCTCTTTGTGCCCCAGGAGACACTCTAGTGTCATATTAAGTACTGACCAGTACTTGTTAAAATAGAAAACATTAGAACTGAAAAATATAGTCTTGTACATTAATTCATTTTTGAAAGGTTAATTACTGAGACCACTCTCTACATTCACATTTAATAGTGTTGGGAGTTTTTTGAGACTGGAGGTGCTAGAAGAGGGATAGGTAATACATAATACGCTGGGATTTAGGCTACTGAAAAGGTATTATCCTTTCTCAAATATTTGGGTGTTTTACACTGGTCTATGGAAATGATCAGATACTGAGCATGGTACTGCACTCTTTGGAGATTAGTAAATCAATATTTTTTTGGGCATTATGGGCCCAATTATTTATTTAATAGGACATCTTGGATAGAGTTTGATGGGTCAAGCCCTTTGATCCCTCAATTCTGCAAGCCACAATATGCCTCAGGATGCCTGTGAATTGAAGTCAGTGGAATATTGTATGGGTGCAGGGGTCTGGCTGTGTGGTTTTGTTTTCAGCATCAGGCCTTGTGCTCATAAGAAGAGCGTGTTCAATAATAGAAATTATCTAGTGTATTTGACCACCATCTATGGCATTTGTAATTGGGCAGCAGTACACTGACTGAAAAAGATGGGTCTGGATGGGAGAAAGCCACTTCTTGCCTCACCCTTGTCCTTATATAGCCATGACAAACAACTTAATCCCATCAGTAGTAATCACATTGATACCAAAGAAATTCCCCAGATTCTATTTTGTATTCCTGACCCGCTTTTGAATAAGCAAGAATCACTCCACCATTGGAAACTGCAGGTCACATGGTACTAGGATGACCAGATAGCCAGTGTGAAAAATCGGGATAGGGGATAATAGGAGCCTATATAAGACGAAGCCCCGAATATCAGGACTGTCCCTATAAAATCGGGACATCTGGTCACCCTACATGATACTTCAAAAGTAGGGGAAAGGTCAGCTGAGGTAAACAACAGCTGCATGCTAAAAATAGAACTGGCCATGAGCATGCATGGAATGCTGGCGGTGAGCATGTGCAGTAAAGATCTGACAGGAAGAAATTATCAAAGGTGTCTAAAAAGTTTTGGCAGGACAGTCAGCATGTCAGTGGGCTGATAGGAGGAGAGAATAGGAGCTGACAGGCAAGAAGGACAGAGAAGAAGAGCAAAGCTTGCCTGAGCAGTCCATTGACAGCAGCAGCAGTAGCATTAGCAGAATATCCTGCCCGATCCAGCAGCAGAGGGAGAAGAAGTAAAAACAACACAGCGGCAGAGGGAGGCAGAGAGAGAGAGAGTTCAGAAGAAACAGTCAGCAAGCGTGGAGTGAGTCTGTCAGACAATATTACAGAATAATATAGTGTAGTGAGTATTGGTATGTATGTGTACGCTTAGGTTAATAAAGATGTGTGTTTGCGTTGTGCTGTTTGTAAAGAGAATGTATATACATAGGATTTAAAGAAAATTTAAAACTGGTGTCAGCGACCTCTGAACTACTGATCACCATAAGCAGGGCGCATCACTTAGGATCATCTCAACTGTAAGGCAATATGGTTTGGGGAGTTCTTTAACTTGCTATAAGAGATTTGTGTTTTAGATTATTATTGTATTAGGGATTATTATTTGCACCAATAAAAAGGTGCCTTGTTTTGAAAAGAACACTGTCTTTGTGTCAGTCATTTATCAGAAGCCTGTGTCCTCCAGGTATTTCCTTAGCCACCCTGGAGACCCATACATCAGGAAAACAGATTGGTTAGTAGGTGAGCTATTCTGGGGGTACCCTAAATCTGTTTTCGGGGTAACAATATCTGGAATGCACTGCTCTTAATCAAACTCTGCTCTACTTTACAACGATATACAAAAGAATATATATTTTACCAATTCCTGATTGTACCAGTAGGAGTGAGATGGCTATTAGTCCCTCTTCTTCAGTAAAAAATGTATCTATGTGTTTTAGGGTTTTGAAGGTGCTGTGATATATAAACACCAGTATAATTGATGTGACAATTACAAGTATTTTTCAGCTCAGAGCTAGTGGTCCTATGTGTATAAATCTCCTAGGCCTAACAGTACACCACTATCCAAATTTCAAAGGAGATAAGGCAGTTGACGTGGTGTTGCTACTGGGTCAATATGTGGACATCTTAATATGGAAAAAGATTTTCACCATAATCAGCAAACTTCTGAAAGCCCTTTTTAAATATGCTTCATATCAGAATAACAGATGTTCTCATTTAGAGGTTTTACAGGAGCAGGAACTAGCTAGGAAAGCCACAAATCATGAAAGATTGGAGGCTGGCAGGACTGCAAGGGCTGAGTTTTTAAGATTGCTTAACAGACACAGATTTGCAGTCTATGCCTTCATTTAAGTCTGCTGTCAGAACTGTACGTTTAACATCAGCTGGTGACTGCGTGTTTGTTTTTTTTTAAATATTGTTTTCATTGAGCATATTGTTTAGAGTAATACTTCTCAGCCTTAACTTTTAGCTAACAAAGATTTTTTGGGGAGTAATTCCTGTAATCAATGAATTAATAATTTATTGGTTACATTGTTTCAAAGAAGTGAGTACCAAACTTGAATCATAGCACTGCGGTATAGTTACATGAAACAAAAATAAATATTCCCTGTGTTCTTTCACTTTGTGAAGAAGTGTGACAAAAATAAATGGTTTAATGTACGTACACAATTTTCACATTTTATGTCTTTTTTTTAAATTTTACTTTTGTTTTAATTTTATTCAGTTGTGTCCTTCCCCCTCCCATCCCCCCAGGCTTTACCCCGTTGCAGTAGGTTTTTAAGGGGGATCATTTTTTCTTAATGATTTATCCCCAGCAAGAAATGTTGTTCTGGAAATGCACACATATGTGATCTATAAACATGGCCCCGTGTATAATTAGAATTCTTTAGCGCAAAGAGTATGAGTAAAAACTATTGCTTTTCCTTTCTCACATAAGAATGACATTTCACGCCTGTGCACCGTCAAATTCGAGCAGATTCAGTCCTTTCAGGTTCAATGGTTTAGTTTGTCCCCTGGCTCCAATGTTTCCAAAGGGATTGTGGTCACATAGAGTGACTGCAGGCTGTACATTAATTTTACATATGTTTTGACACCCCCAGATGGTCTTTCATGGATTTCCAAGGTACCAGAAGAAAAGCTGGTTATTTTGTGGTATTCTCAGACACGTGAACTCTGTACCAAAACCTCATAAAATTGTCCAATACTTCTTTCATTTCTTTTTTGATTAATTACGTAGCTTTTTGTGTCTAATTAGAAGTTTGTTTCTTTTTAATCCTCCTTCTCTTGACTGATTTATTCATTCATACCAAAGTTCAGTGTTTTACATTAGAAGAGCTTTCATGGTGATGACCAGGGCTCTCAGACATCTGAATGTCTTGGGAACACAAGGATGATGACTAGAAAAGAAAAACCTTCTTTGCACAATTTCATAATCAGAAATAATTTGAGGAATAGAGGACAGATGCAGGACAATGGAGTTTTGTAAGTAATTAAAGTTTGCATTCTTTGTAGAGTGTTGATTTGAGTTTCTCAAGGAGATAGTATAATGAAGAAATTCAATTAGAATATGTTTAAATCAGTATTCCTCCTAGGGGTGAAGCCAGTTGGTTTAAGGAAAAGAGAAATGTATATATTTAGGTGCATTTCTCAATGCACTGCTCCAAAATATTCATTCTAGAGTGGTGTTTTTTATAGGAAAGCCTACAAATACATGGCATATATTTTCTTTTCTAATTTTAACTTTGGATGCTACAGAAGTGGATACATGTATTTCAAAGGGCATGTTCAACATACAGTAGTGAATGCACGGTTCTATTTTGGCAGAATTTTGAAAGCAGAAATGACACATCAAAAAGAAAAATAAACAGTCTGCCTTGTCCATATGTTCCAATAACTTCTTCCTGGATTTTTTTCAGTAATTCACTGTAGAAGGGAATAAAGAGGCAGACTCACTCTTAAATAAAGGAAAGATAAATTGTGGTAATGTGGCAGGAACCCTACAGTAGTTAGCACCATGCATTGCTGCCATAAGCACAAGGAAGTTAAATATATGGCAAATTATTTTATGAGAAAGTCCTTAACTTCAAATAATTTGCCCATTTTTGGAACTATTGTACATTTTTTATTATGAAAATGTAGATTAGGGGAAGGGGCATATTATCCAAGAGCAAGGGATCATCAGAAACAATGTGACGAGTAACCAGTTGGAACTTTTTTAAAATAATTTTGTTTCAAAAGTACTTGATTTTGAAAAAAGCTACATACAGCATGGCAAAGTCTTGTAGGTAAAGCTGGTATCCCTATCTGTTATTAAAGTTGCCAGACACTTTGCATTATAAGACCCTGTTTTTAGTTTCTTATATCTTTGTAAAACTTTAACACTTTGGGCTCAAATTTTCCATGCCGAGTGTCTTCAGGCTTTTTTTAATTTCAGCCAAAACAGTTGAGATGTTTCTGAGAACGAGGCAAGGAAAAATAAATTATTTTGCCAATGTTAAAAAATGTTGGCAACTATTTTTTATTTTTTTAAGCTTTCGTACGCCCATGCATTGGAGCCAGGACTAGAAATTTATCAGAGGATGTGCCTTTTCCATCTCTGTGAAAATCTGCCCAATTTTGGCCAAATTATAAACCTTTGAAGAAAATCCCAGTTTGCACATGCTCATTAGAGATGACTTGAATATAGCTGCTAAAAATATCTGAAGATTCCATCTTCACTGAGCATGTTACAGTGCCTCTCAGCTCCTAGTGCTGACCAGACTCTGCATGTGCCATCCACACAAAAAACTGAGCCTGCTCCATGCCCTCACAGCTCATACATCTGAGCAGACTCTGCCTGTGCCATCCCAAAGTCAGGGTGGGGCTGGGAATGGAAACTGATCCCAGAGACCTTGTGTCTCCTGTGCTTTCAGTGACTCCCCTGATGACACCCAGGTAACAAGGAGGAAGAAGTTGCCTGATCTGAATACAGAGGAAACAAAAAACCAGACTTTAGAGGGAAAGAAGAGGAGTGGAGTGGATTGGAACAAGAAGTTTGTTGAGACTGGGACTGGAGGGGCAAGAAACATGGACTGGCTGGGTACAGAGACCAAGAGTGGGAGCTCATGGAGAAGCTGGGACTGGTTGGGCAAGGAGACTGGGACAAGGAACCAGTTTGGGGAGGAACAGAGGTGAGGGGAGATTAGGTGGGAAGAAAGCCTGAGACTGGCTGGGCAAAGAGACTGGGACATGGAGGTAGGGTGGGGTTGTAAAGGGATGACCAACACTGGATGCAGAGCCTGGGTCTGGGACTGAGAGCCAATGTGGGTGGGGAGGGAAGAGACAGATCAGACAAGAAGCCACAGGCAACCTTAATTATGGCATTTAAAATTTTTGAATGCTTGACTTTTGCAATCTTAAAAATGTTCTTTTAATGTTTTTTGTTCATAATTTAGGAAAAAGAATAAGCATGTTTATTACCAGCTATATGGTCATACTTGTATACTTTTAAGTGTAAATCTTTATCTGTTGAGAGGTGTGGTGACTTGGATTATGTGAAAGGAATGTGAATGGAATGTAAGGTTGTGTTGTCTGATTCTAAGTCACCTTAAGGTTACTTGACCCTGAGGCTACCCCAGGTTCCTGCGTAGTTTGGAGTGGCCTGAAGGTTGCTCTTAAAACCTCGTAAGATCATCTAGTCCAGTCCCCTGCACTCAAGGCAGGACTAAGTATTATCTAGACCATCCCTGAGAGGTGTTTATCTAAACTGCTCTTAAAAATCACCAATGATGGAGATTCCACAGCATCCCTGGGCAATGTGACTGATAACTCCTAAAGGCTATTCTTACTACAGTGGAAAGCCAAAGCATAGTGGTGCTCTGGCTCTGCCCAGTTTTCTCTGGCTATGTCCTCTTTGTGGAGGGGAATGAGAGAGAGCTATACCACTGGAGGATTTACAATATGCTGTGGGTTTTGGGCTGCTTTGTTCCACTGGCATGTGGTAGAGCAGTGGAAATTGGGCCAAGGATCTTGCCCTCTCCCTGTCGCACAGAAACGTTCATTACTCTTGGTTTTAGGACTGAGACTTTTGTTACTATTTCTGATATCATCCATTTGTATTTCTCTCTATAAGACTTGGATTGGGAATCGAAGACGAAAATATCGTTTAATGGGGATTGAAGTCCCACCCCCTAGAGGAGGCCCTGCTGATTTCTGTGACCATTCTGAATCTGGTGCTAAATCAGCACTTACTCCAGGAGAGGAAACTGCTACTGAAGTGGGAGATGATAATGATAGGAATGATGAAGTGTCAATCTGCTTATCTGAAGGAAGTTCACAAGGTATTTGAAACTGCAATTGCTACTGTTTTGTTAATTATATTTTGCAATTTGTGTGCTTTTCATCTCTCTCTAGTGTATACATTCAGAAGTGCTTGAAACAGTTGCTTTTCTTACCTATGAAATGAACAGCCTTCTGAAGTGCAAACCAGTATTTTTAAAATTACAGTCATTTGGCATTGTCCTTGCCAAGGTGGCAGAGGCAAGTTTTTGAGCTATTATGTAGATTTATACAAACTGTAGCACCCATTCAGCACTCTGACCACTCTAACAATTTTTTTTCTAAAACACTAAAATAAGTAGACCTGTCAGTTCCTCTTGATCAGTGGTTCTCAATTTATTTACCATTGTGGGCCGCATATGCAGCTCTCCGTGCATTATGTGGGCCACATCCACACTAATATATATACACACACCCTACCTGTAGATCTAAATAAAAAAATAAAATAAGGTTTAGTATTTGTAATATGACAGCAGTATGATTCAAACTGATATAGTACCTTTCATTTCAACACTGGCAAATGTTTACCAAGAGCATTTTAAATTAAATTAGCAAAATAAGTCAAAAATTAACTGTTAAAATGAATTAATTTACTGTAAGGGTGGCATGGTATGGTGTATTGCCACCTTCACTTCCTCGCTGCTGCTGGCAGCACAGCTGCGGAGCCTGCCTGCAAAGATGGCACCCCCCAAGCCAGGGACTTCCCCCTCGCCCCTCATGTGCTGCGCCGCCCCCATCTAGGGACTGCCCCCCAGCCCCTCCCCACATTTTACCCCCAGCCAGGGAATGCCCCCCATCACTCAACCCACCTGGGACTGTACCCCCAGCATCCAGACCCCCTACCCCAAAACTTGGGTGGCACACGTGCCTGCCCTGCAGAGACAGGGTGCCCTGTCCAGTGCTGACCCCCCTCCCCCCCAACACTGCCCTGCTCCAAGGGACTGTCCCCTCCTTCATCTAGTCCCCCACCCAGCACCCTCAAGGACTGCCCCCCCAGCACTGAACCTTCCCGTCCAGGGACTGTGCCCTAATATCTAGCCCCCCATCCAGGGACTGCTCCCAGCCAGCAGTCCCCAATCTAGAGTCTGTCCCCCATGCACCAGCTGCACCCCCCTCCCTGCAACTGTACCTACCTGCATCCTCCTCCCTGCGCAGGCTGGTCTCCTACCTCGACAGTAGCTCAGCTGCCCAGCGGCCCTACCCACCTGCTACTGTGGTCCTACTGATGGGGAGCCTGCTCTAGCTGGGGTCAATGGACCTGCGATCTTGCAGAGTCTGGGGAGTGCTGAGCACTCAGGCCTCCTGCCGATGCGCCTGGGCCAAATCCTACAGAAGGGGGCTGACGCTTTTTGGAACTCCCCTCCTGCTGGCTCTGTGCCTGGGGTGGGTGCAGCCCCTGCTCTGCCCTAGTTATGGCCCTGAGAATGTCACGTGGGCCACAGCTGTGTGCTGATTGGGCCGCAAGCAGGTTGAGAATCACTGCTCTAGATCAACTCAAATACACAATCATGTTGTTTAACTAGAGTTACAACACAACCAGAACAGTCTAGTCCAAACAAACCTACAATAGTATTAAAGCCTCTTTAAATAGCCTGGTAACAATGCAGAGAATTAGGCAGCAGAGTCAGTAGCACTGGGCTGTTTGGAGGGCACCTAAAGTGTGTGTGTGTGTGAGTATGTGAGAGAGAGAGAATGAATTTGTTTTCCCACCCCCACAATTTCATGAGTTTGAGTGTTAAATGGGAATTAGATGATCAACTCATTTGCTCTGTCGCACAAAATAGAATGACCAAAACCAGTCTTCTGTGTCCATAAAATTAAAACTCTAGGCCCTAAAGGAGATGAACTGCCACCTTTGCACGTTTCACTGGCTTCAAAAGTTGAACTAATTGCTCCCAGTGCTTCTGATTAGAAGTGATCAATAAGCCCTGGGCTGGCTAAACTGAAAGGAAGTCTGTTTTAGAGCACACTGTTGGAGCTTTGTATGCCACATATGATCTTGTCAATTTGTTTGAATGGTATAGAGGAAAGAGTTAGGGGCATTGAGAACTGTTGTGAACAAACTCGTGATGTCTTTGTCAAATTCAACTATAAATAGAATAAGATGATACAGAATTGGGTAGAACTGATTGAAATCCAGGGAAGATGCCAACGTATGAGAATCCTTGACTTGCCTGAGGGAGAAGGAACTGGTCCAGTAGGATGTTTATTTTAAAGAAAGAAAAGTGAATGTTATGCCATTTAAAGTGAAGGATGACTCAGTATTCATTGAGCTAGGGCTTTTGAAGCTGAACACAGAGCTGTAAGGGATCCAGGCAAGGAGAATATGACTATAATAAAGCTTATGGAGCTATGGACAAACACAGGATTTCTTTAGTAACAAAAATGAAAGAGATTTTTATTTTCAACATAAAGATTATTTTCCTACCAGCCACAACTCAGAAAGTAGTTCAAAATAGGTTAGGAGGCAGTAAAGAGAACCTTTATTGGAAATTAAAATGGGTTAATTAAGAATAAGTAAACTACTTTATTAGACCCTGCCCAAGTCTGTGGAAAAGCTGTTGGACTAAATTGTAACTAAACCCCCTTTGATATAGTAGTGGACTTTGACTCTGATAATTCTTAAAACTTGAATCTATTTGTATGCCAAAATGATGATTTCAGTTTTATTGTTGGGTCGCAGACATTATGTCTTTTATTGGCACTGACTGTCACTTGACTTTAAGTCTCCAGTCTGCTAACCCCATAATAAAGACTTTCTGAGAGGAGAGAGAGAGAGGCTAATTATATCAATGAGGGCTTGAAAAAAGAGCTGACACTCCTGGAGAAGATAAGTAGTCCAGAATTACACGCAACAGCTGTTTTATCAGAGCTGTGTAATCACCCTTTTAACTTTTTCGGAAAATACAACTCTAGGTTCCAAAAGGACTTTCAGAGAGTTGAAAAGAAGTACTCCTGTGGGAATTCTGCACCAAAAAAGTAAAAATTCTGCACACGATATTTTAATAATCTGCAAAATTCTGCATATTTAACACAATATAATCACAGCAGTTTCAATAATTTTTGGTCATTTTATTTCAAAATACCTGTCAGCAAGTATGTCTATAACAATACAGGCGACAAAAACAATTCAGGAAATGGTTTTTGACAAATAGATTCCTTATTAGGCATATTAATACATAACTCTGAGTAATAATTCATTTAAACTACAATGCAGAACCGTATTTCCTGCACCCCTCAGAAGCAGTGCAAAGGCTTGGGGGAGTCAGGGGTAACAGAGGAGCTGAGGGAGAGGGAAGTGTAATTGCTGGGAAGGAGCCTGGGTGTGAACTTGGGGTGGTTGAGTATGGGTGGGAAAAGTATGGAATAGATTTTTGAGGGGGGCAGGGAGGGTTTGTTAGGGACCTTCTCCCATGCAGACCCTGGCTGACCCCAGCCTCTCCCATTCAGTCAGGCACACCTGCCCCATCTCTGTGTCCCTTCACCCCCATGTGTCTTTGCACCCCCTGGCCAAATGTGTCCCTCCACCCCCACTCAGACACCCACTCCCCCCATCCTCATGTGGCACTGTACCCCCTCCTCCATCCCCATGTGGCCCTGCACCTTCCTCACCCCTGTGGCCCTGTGCTGTGAAGAAGGCACTACAGGCTCTTTCTCTTCCCTAGCTAGCCTTGAGTGGTGGCTCTGTTCCAATGCCACAGCACTCTCTGGTGGGAAAAAGACGAAACTGCAGCAACTTTCCAGCCGAAGTTATTTTCTGCTGAGGCTGCTCTGGTCTAGCGCCATAGCACCCTCTAGTGAGCAAAAGGTAGAACTTCAATAAATTTCCAACAGAAGCTATTTTCGGTCACACAAAAAAATATGCATGGCACATGAATTATGCGCACGTGCAGTGGTGCAAAATTCCCCCAGGGGTAAAAGAACTAACTAGGTAAGTGAAATAAGTGGAATGAGGCTGGTGAATGCTGCTAGTCTTTAAAAGTAGCTGATGAAAAAACAAAAATCAAAACCATAACTTGATGCAAAATTAAGGTTATATACTTTATCAAAATCAGAAAATGGAAAACGTTAAGGTTCACTTGTAACATTAACAGGCCCTTTTGTCTTTTGCGTTAGTTATATCCACATTAGGTGTAAATTGGTGCTGCTCTGAGGTCAGTGAGCTGTGCCAATTTACACTAGTTGAAGAACTGATTCTTCATATTGAACATTTGGATTCACTGGTCAAACTAAACAAATGGTGACTGTTGAGATTACAGGGCAAGTTACGCTTTAGATCCTTTTTCAGTCCCCCTCATGTGCACCCCTCTGGTGACAGCTTTTGCTTCCTTCACCCTTGTCTGGATGGAACCAGTTGGTCTACTACTCTTAGACTAGATCTCTGGGCTGCAGTCCAATTGTTTACCACCAGTGATAAATTGACAGACTTAACTGTTTTCAGCACCTGCAAGAACTTTCTCCAGAAGCCTGTGACAAACAGGTGATTGAAGTGACACAAAACAGCTTCATCAAAACAAAATATTAATGCTACATTGCAGCCAGAGAAGTGAGTTAAAACAACAAAAGTCTATGAGCAAATTAAATATCCATCTGGTAAAACTGAGATACATATCCTATGCGTATAAAATAATAAAGATGTCTCCCTTGTTTTCCACAATGACCCTGGGCAGTGCAGTAGGATTTTGTAGCTCTTATGATTCAGGGCCCCAGAGGAGCTATGAAGCTTCCTGAACTGAAGCGGCTGCCTTGCACAGATCCATAGTTACTGTGAATATATGTCTGCAATTAGAGCAGTATGAATTAACTGGGAATATAGGGATTGCCATACAGGTACAAACCAATGAGCCATCCAATCAGCTGTTCTGTTTATACCGAAATAATTCTGTATTGTAGACCAGGGTTTAGTGGTTCCAGTACACCAACATGGGGGTATATGCATGTATGTGAGTAAGATACACAGACAGGCAAACCCACACATATATGTACCCCATATCTTTTAGGCTGGAATTTTCAAAGGCTTAGGGAGTTTGACACCCAACTCCTGTTGAAATTCAGTGGGTGTTGGGTGCCAGACTCCCTTAAGCTCCTTTGAAAACCCAAGCCTGAAGCTATAAGCAGTGAGAAATTGGTGTATATTGTAGGAGAGTAACTGACAGGAATAATGTCTGTCTTCTCAGGCAGTGATTGGTATAAATGTGATTTTGAAATGTTTGTGTCAAACATTAATTATATGCAATTTTTTAAATTACAAATAAACTTTGGCTTAAAAGTCATAGAAGACATATCTTAAAGGAATTCCATAAAAAGGGCATAGGGTACTAAAGCTAACACTCCAAGGAAGATATAATAGCTCATTTATTTCTGCAGAAGAAACCAGTGAAGTTATTCAAAATGAAGAAATTGGTCACAAAGAAGAGGACCAAAATACATTATCTGCAGATAATGTGGTATGTACACTTTTTTCATATCTTACCAATTCGACTTTTTTAATTATTACTGTATAAACTGTCTTCCAAAGGCAGTACGTCTAAGTTAGTGAAGATTTTTCATGTCCTGTTAAAAAGAACCCTGTTTTATAACTTTAATACTAAAAATAAGCAGTTATTGATAGAATTGTGCATATTCAATCAAAAAATTTAAAAATATTTTCCATATAATATAATGAGTAGAAATCTTGTGTTTTAGGAGGCTACTTAGTGTAACTGCATTACTACATTCTAGTCTCTCTCATCTCCAAAGTCCTGAGTAATTCTTCTACTCTACTTAGCTCTGGAACACTCTCCCTTCAGTAGAGTTATGCTCTGTGTACAGGGACATGTGGAAGTACTGAAAGAATGTTTTGTCCTGCTTAGTTTTGGTGTACTAGCTAGGCCTGAAACAGTTTAAATTCAGGTTGATTGGTTAGGCCCTGATCCAGGAAGGAACTTCTGTGTGGTTGTAGGTGCCATATGGAGCTCCTCCTAGTACTGATACCTTATTTGATTATAGCTAGCCTGAGAGACCAGATGCCCCAGAGACCTCGGTACATGTCTCACTATAATGTGTTTAATAATTTTGTGTCTTGGAAAGCCCAGTGTACTGCATGACAGTATAGGGGCAAATTCACCATTGAGTAATTAGGTACAACTCCATTGACTACACTGAGGTAGCCTTACTTCTGCTGTTGATGAATTTGGTTCATATACTTTTACTATCAATTTATTTTTAATTCTGTCAAGTAATAAGATTTTTATCTGGGTGTTTTTACCTAATTCTATGAAAAATTGGGAGGTTTACACTTTTCAAACATATATCTAATTAAGAATGTAAAAGGCCAGTGTGTTAAACATAAATTCTGTGTTAATCATAAATTCTTTCAATCACAATACAGTATTACTACCGTATTTCATGTTGAAAAATGTTTATTTTGACAGTATTTAGCACTTATGCGGTATTTTCTAATGTGTTATATTTTTGAGAAAAAACTCAGTGAGGTGAGAAGAATGATTCTGAAAGTGTGTTATGACAGAACAAAGTGTGTCACGTTTATGGGTTTTTACAATGCCCATGAGGTTGTTTTTATTTTTATTCATATCTAAATTAGATTTTGAGCAGATGGAATGAATATAAATCAGTTTGTGATAGGAGGCTGGCATTCTTGCCAATAAATCAAAGAGATAAACTGCAAACAGCTGAAATTACTGAATCTATATTTCTCGGCTTTTGGATGTGGTGGGATCAATGAGGAAGATAATGGTGTTAGGGCAGGCTTTTATTCTACTATTTCAATCAGTATTTAATCTCTGTGGGCTAAGGTATAATAAATTTAACCAATTTTATTGCTGTTTAATAGAACAGTGTTTGAATTAAATCATTTTCAAGGTTATAAAAATAAACACTGAGATAAAAAGGTGAAGGACATAAATCCACACCGTGTAGAGGTCAACCACAGGAATTTATTACGTACAGCACTGATGGAGTGTCACCTTATTAGGTTCAGAGACACTGTCAATCAATTGATTACAATGGAATATATGGATTTTCCATGGGCGGGGGAAAGTGACGGGGTAGGCAGTCCCACAACCTCGGATAGGTCTAGCAGCAAGACATGATAGCACAGTAGCCAATGGTCAAAGGTTACATCATTTCTCTGCCCATGGTCTCAAGTTAACAAATTAACATTTAATTAGTACTTTAATAAATGTATTACTATAAAATATGTATGTTGAATTCTGATTTGGGGTCCATAGGAATGAAGTAGCTCCTTTGATTGTCCAACAGATACATATCTAGGGGTAAAAGCAAAGAAACAGTGAAAGTATATGGCAATAAAGATTGTCTTTCAAGTTGTTCATTTGTGTTTTTAGGGCAGGCATTGGTCCCTGGGAAAGGAAGGTGGGAGGAGACCATATCTTATACTGACATGCTTGAACCTTTCATAAACTCACGGTTGGATGTGTGAGAAGAAAATTTCCCTACAAAAGAAACTAACTACTTTGTTCTATTTGCAACTTTGAATAAGACAATTATTGCCCCCAACATCTGGTGTTTTGCTGACCAGGCATATCTTAGCAAAAGCAAGGCTATTTTTGGTTATTCTGCTTTCTCTTAGCTATTGCTAGGCCTCTGACCTCTTGACCAAACTCTGGACTTTGTGCCTGTACACAAATCCATATACTAGGTTATTACATCAGCAATGGATTTTAACCCTTCAAAAGGGCAGTAGGTTATAGAATTTAGGAAAAATATGTTAATTTTTATGGTAAAATTTAAATACCTTAGAATTAGTGATGTGTGAGATCTCCATAGTTAAGTCACAATTGAGTTTCTATCATAAACTGGATTTTAGCCTTCCTGCTCCTCCCCCAATCTGACAAACAAAGGAATATTCGCTTCAGGATTGATGGTTGGATCTCAGATAGTTATCGGGATCCATTTGGGGGAAAAAAAACTGAGTCAGCCCCGATGAACCAATAGAGGCTCTTCAGAAGGCTGAAGATCCTATGTATGTTCATCGGCTGGCAAGCAATACAAGTTTAACTAGAAATTCAAGAGTTTAGTTTTCTGAATGAAATACCTTTCACTTCTATTTCAGAAAATAGAAATTATAGATGATGAAGAAAGTGATATGATTAGTAATTCTGAAGTGGATCAGATGAGCTCTCTTTTGGATTATAAGGTAAGTGATTGAGATCTTGCAATGCTGAGAGAGACATTCCCTTTACACAGAAAGCTCAAACAGGTGTTTTTGCAGGGAGGAATGTGGAAGGGTGGAATTCACCCCAACCACAGGAAGACCTCTGTTCCAGCATTCAAACTGTGATAGTAGCTCCGTCATCTATTTGTGGGTTCTTAGCCATTGGATCTTTGTTTCTGCAAAATGAAAGGAACACAGAAAGAAGCAGCAGCATCAGTCCTTCATAGCAGCTAAATTACTATGATTCTAGCAGCTTACAGCTTCCACTGGGTATCTCACACCAAGGCAATTTATTTAGCATTTAAAACATACATCTTTTTCCTTTAATTTTTTAATTGAAATCTGCATTTTGTTGACCTGAATTTGATGGGTTAATTGTTATGGCTCGCCACTGATCGCATCTGACCAGAAGATTTATAGGTTCTTATCCAATTCATACTACAGAGCTGAAGAACTCAGAGAGTTCTATATTGGGAGAGGATTCTCGGGGTGCTTGGCAAGAACACGCACTGAGGACAATACCAAATTGATAAAATCTTTATTGAAATTAACATAAAAATAAGAAATGCAATGAAACTTATAACTGCAAAACAGTAAAAGAATTCCAAAACTCCTGGTGGTACCATTTCTATTATAAGTACCTTAACATACTCACACCCTTCTTTGAGGACCTGGTAATAGGAGGTGAAGGACCAGCCTCACTCCTGGCATGACCAATCACGTGATGGTGCTGGCTTTCCCAATGGTTAGGAATGTTGAGTAGTTATACTATACTGCACAAGCTGAGCTGATAGCGTGATAGTAGATAGATAGAGCTTAGAACTTATAAGAGCTGAACTTAGCAGAACCGAACTCAACTACTAAGAATTCAGGCCCAACCTATTATACCCAAATCTTATTTCTGTACCCTAAGAAATTCCGTAGAAGGGTACCCTTCTCCTATAGGTTTGTGGATTATGACACTTACTTTTTCTAAATATATTAATAAGGATTATCTCATTCCAAAACTGGCAACCTAGGCTCTCTTGACGACCTCCCAAGTTGTGGTGAACCCTGCGGTTACCAACTGGTTGTAGAAGCCAGATAAACCTGTGATGTGATGTGGATAGTTCCTCCCTTTGGTTTCCCAAAGTTAAGGGACCATTTTTATCTGTGCCAAAGGTTGCCAGCGTTTATGCTGACATATTTATAACTGATCATACTTTTTGCTATATATCAGATCTTACTGGATCTTACAGGCCAGTAGGCTTCTTGCATTTCAGCAAAACTTATTATTAGGAAACACGTGCCTCAACACATTTTCCAAGGAATTAATACTGATAAAATATAAGAATAAAATGGATTAATTTCAGAAAAAGAAACATATTAATTGATACTGCTGGCCGGATTAGTAGGATATAATAGCTAGCAAAATAAACCTATGAGCTACAGTTTTCATCAAATACAAACATTCTTTGTGCCAGGAGTCTGTTCTTTTGGGTTTTATTTTAAATATATAGCCTAATACTGCCAGCATTGGGAGGCAACATAACAGCTAGAGTCCTCTAATAAAGCAGGGAGGTCCAAGAAAGCAATGGCTTTAATAACGTAGACCACAGTATAACAACATTGCTGCCCATTCTAGTTATAATATGACTATATAGAGTTGTCTTTGAAACAGTAACATGAAAAAAATGCTGGATACCCTGACATTCAGGATCTTCTGCCAAAATTGTAACGGTTACATGTTTGTTATAGCTCACGTAAGAGTTGCCATGGCTTCATTTTATACCTTGTGTTTTCTGTGTGAAACTGACAAATTTGTAACTTCCTTGTTTGTGAAATATACAGCTTTTATTAGAATGGAACCTGTTTCTAAAAGAATAAAATATTTTAAAAAGTAAAATAGACTATACCCTTAGGGGCACAAAAATGAATCCTCTGGGCAGTGTGTTCAGGGTAAGGGCAATGCAGGATGAATATGGATGGCAAATGACCTTTTCTTAATGTCACTTGTCACTGAATTGAATGGCTTGTTGTGACAGCATGCCCTACAGAATCTTGTTTGTTTTTTTATTAGGTTTTGACATAAACTATTAGTCTTCATGGTCACATGTTCTCTGCATAAATATGCATGCTAGCTTTTACTGGACCAAAGCCCTGAGTAAATTGCTGACTTGCAAGCTTTCATCAGCAACAAATCCCATGAAGCTGATTTTTCTACCAAAAGGGAATATTTTCTTTAAGCTACTATATTAAATGTATTGTTAGGACCAACTCTTCAGCAAGCCTGTAAAAGTCAGCTCACAATGTTTGTCAGTTACATTAGGGCTTGCATAATGGCAAATGCATGTTTAACTGTCCATTTTGTTCATGGAAAATGTGTTTGTATACAAAAATAGCTACACCAACCAAGGTTGGGTCTGCTGAAAATTCATCCCGGATTGTTAGGCATAGATGGGAAATTGATTATCACTTAATCTTAACTGAAAGACAGGTTTTATTAATGTGAAATGATAGCCAGTCTGTAACAAATCTGTGTGCAAAACTTTCATGTCCAGAACATAGTATTAAGTCTCACAGGTTTTTAAAATAATACAATAAAATAAATTAATGCCTGTTCTGCAGAACTTTTTTGCACAATCTTTTGGCAAAGTTTTCAGATGCCTTTTAACTAGATTTGTAAATTTGCACATGCAATAATTTCTCACTACCAAAACCTGAAAGTTTCTGTAGGAATTGGTTTATATGCATCATTGCAGGCCCAAATAATCATGTGAACAGATATGTGGACCTAATTTTAAATGATTTTGAAATTTGGCTTTTTATATTGATTATGTAAAGGAAAAATAAAATCGTGCTAACACAATTTCCTTAATTTCTTGCTGTCAGAATAGTTGTACTTTATCATTTGTTCATCGTAAATTATGCATAGGAGGATTGTACAAAACGGCTACAAATTCTGGTGTCTGCAGCAAACTACAATTCCACATCTTAAATCCGCAAACATGCACATTTATACATTCACAGATGATTTTTGAAATTAATTTACAGTTTGAGCCAAACAACTAGGATATGCCTTCAAAAATTATTAGATCAAAAAGAGCCACTTTGAGTTCTGATTTGCATTTTATCCATCCAATAAGAAAAACATAATCATGCCTGGTTGTTGAAATATATAGTGTATGCAAAAAGAAAAGGAGTACTTGTGGCACCTTAGAGACTAAACAATTTATTTGAGCATAAGCTTTCGTGAGCTACAGCTCACTTCATCGGATGCATACCGTGGAAAATACAGAAGATGTTTTTATACACACAGACCATGAAAAAATGGGTGTTTATCACTACAAAAGGTTTTCTCTCCCCCCATCCCACTCTCCTGCTGGTAATAGCTTATCTAAAGTGGTCACTCTCCTTACAATGTGTATGATAATCAAGGTGGGCCATTTCCAGCACAAATCCAGGGTTTAACAAGAATGTCTGAGGAACGGGAGGGGAGGAATAAACAAGGGGAAATAGGTTACTTTTTATAATGAATCAACCATTCCCAGTCTCTATTGAAGCCTAAGTTAATTGTATCCAATTTGCAAATTAATTCTAATTCAGCAGTCTCTCGTTGGAGTCTGTTTTCGAAGTTTTTTTGTTGAAGGATAGTCACTTTGAGATCAGAAATCGAGTGACCAGAGAGATTGAAGTGTTCTCCGACTGGTTTATGAATGTTATAATTCTTGACATCTGATTTGTGTCCATTTATTCTTTTACGTAGAGACTGTCCAGTTTGACCAATGTACATGGCAGAGGGGCATTTCTGGCACATGATGGCATATATCACATTGGTAGATGTGCAGGTGAACGAGCCTCTGATAGTGTGGCTGATATGATTAGGCCCTATGATGGTGTCCTCTGAATAGATATGTGGGCACAGTTGGCAACGGGCTTTGTTGCAAGGATAGGTTCCTGGGTTAGTGGTTCTGTTGTGTGGTATGTGGTTGCTAGTGAGTATTTGCTTCAGGTTGGGGGCCTGTCTGTAGGCAAGGACTGGCCTATCTCCCAAGATTTGTGAGAGTTTACCTACACCTTTTCAATTTAGGAAGGCTTACATTTATTTAGAGAAGAATGTGTAATGAATCCTTAACTGAAATGATGTTTTGCTATGTTTATTTTAGTGGCATGTTAACTCCAATGTTTGTTGAAAGAATTACTTTGTAACATCACTATTTATGGCACCAGCATTCAAGCTTCCTGGTGCTAATTATTAATTCTTTATTTCTAAGTGCTCTATGTTGTGAAGTTTTATACATATTTCTCCCGAAGCTTAATGAACAGTGTAACAGTGAAAGCACGTTGTGTGTATGCATGGATTATTATTAACTTTGCATTCAGAAATTCTTAGCTAGGGATGAATAAATGTAGGAAGAAAAAAACATGGTTGCAAAATAATTTGATGTTCTCAGTTCAGTTTCTAGCAGACATGAATCTATATGCCAAAAACTTCTACCAAAAGCTGACAATCCCTTGGGAGTCACAGCAAAAAGAAAACACTAAATTAGCATGGATACCAAATTACCCTCTCATCCCTAAAACTGAGTCTTCCAGAACAGAATTGAGGCACATGTGGTGAGGAAGGCTGAAGACTACATATGGGAGAAATCTTGCACTGGCTGTGATGTAGTTTCTGCATATTTATATCTGTTATCTTGTGGAAAACTGGTGTTCAGCGCCATCATTTGGACACCTTTTGCAGAGACACCATTTTCTTAATCTTGAAAATCTAAACAGAACACAGGTAGTTAATTACATATAATCTTCACATAACCTGATCTTTGCAAAGGGATTAAATACCTAGGGAAAAATACATTTTTATATGCAAGAAACTAACTTAGAATATATACAGTGCAGTAAGTCTAGTAAGGCCTATGTGGGAATTAGCTGAAGTACTTACTGAACCTGAAGTTAAATCTGAACTTTTGATTTAAGAGATTTGTCATCTAGATATCAAACTTGTGCTTTGTAAATCCAATAATATGTGTTGTTCATTGTTTATAGAATGGCTGAGAAATGCCTGGCTGAAGCCTTCTTGTTCATCTACTGTGTTGGCACTGTCAATGCTTCCCCACACTCCCTTACCAGAATCTGACATCAAGGGACCATCTTGAGAGAGAGAGACACTAGTACACTGCTGTTTTGCTTGCCCTGTCAATGAGGATGTTAGTTGTGGTGGTTTTTCTTTTCTATTTGGGTATTTATAGTGTGCATGTTACTGTAGTATCTGAGGTGCTATGGATAGTGGAAACTGGGAATTTGAAACCACCAGCTCATTTCACATAGGCTATTTTAAGCAATCAGATGCTGACTTTCCAGCCACTATGTTCCTAGGCTGGATTTCAGTTATCCAGAGAATAGCTATTGGAGGCATAGAATCATAGAATATCAGGGTTGGAAGGGACCTCAGGAGGTCATCTAGTCCAACCCCCTGCTCAAAGCAGGACCAATCCCCAATTAAATCATCCCAGCCAGGGCTTTGACAAGCCTGACCTTAAAAACTTCTAAGGAAGGAGATTCTACCACCTCCCTAGGTAACGCATTCCAGTGTTTCACCACCCTCCTAGTGAAGAAGTTTTTCCTAATATCCAACCTAAACCTCCCCCACTGCAACTTGAGACCATTATTCCTTGTCCTGTCCTCTTCTACCACTGAGAATAGTCTAGAACCATCCTCTCTGGAACCACCTCTCAGGTAGTTGAAAGCAGCTATCAAATCCCCCCTCATTCTTCTCTTCTGCAGACTAAACAATCCCAGTTCCCTCAGCCTCTCCTCATAAGTCATGTGTTCCAGACCCCTAATCATTTTTGTTGCCCTTCGCTGGACTCTCTCCAATTTATCCACATCCTTCTTGTAGTGTGGGGCCCAAAACTGGACACAGTACTCCAGATGAGGCCTCACCAATGTCGAATAGAGGGGGACGATCACGTCCCTCGATCTGCTCGCTATGCCCCTACTTATACATCCCAAAATGGCATTGGCCTTCTTGGCAACAAGGGCACACTGCTGACTCATATCCAGCTTCTCGTCCACTGTCACCCCTAGGTCCTTTTCCGCAGAACTGCTGCCTAGCCATTCGGTCCCTAGTCTGTAGCTGTGCATTGGGTTCTTCCGTCCTAAGTGCAGGAGCCTGCACTTATCCTTATTGAACCTCATCAGATTTCTTTCGGCCCAATCCTCCAATTTGTCTAGGTCCCTCTGTATCCTATCCCTGCCCTCCAGCGTATCTACCACTCCTCCCAGTTTAGTATCATCCGCAAATTTGCTGAGAGTGCAATCCACACCATCCTCCAGATCATTTATGAAGATATTGAACAAAACTGGCCCCAGGACCGACCCCTGGGGCACTCCACTTGACACCGGCTGCCAACTAGACATGGAGCCATTGATCACTACCCGTTGAGCCCGACAATCTAGCCAACTTTCTACCCACCTTATAGTGCATTCATCCAGCCCCTACTTCTTTAACTTGCTGACAAGAATACTGTGGGAGACTGTGTCAAAAGCTTTGCTAAAGTCAAGAAACAATACATCCACTGCTTTCCCTTCATCCACAGAACCAGTAATCTCATCATAGAAGGCGATTAGATTAGTCAGGCATGACCTTCCCTTGGTGAATCCATGCTGACTGTTCCTGATCACTTTCCTCTCATGTAAGTGCTTCAGGATTGATTCTTTGAGGACCTGCTCCATGATTTTTCCAGGGACTGAGGTGAGGCTGACTGGCCTGTAGTTCCCAGGATCCTCCTTCTTCCCTTTTTTAAAGATTGGCACTACATTAGCCTTTTTCCAGTCATCCGGGACTTCCCCCGTTCGCCATGAGTTTTCAAAGATAATGGCCAACGGCTCTGCAATCACAGCCGCCAATTCCTTTTGCACTCTCGGATGCAACTCGTCCGGCCCCATGGACTTGTGCATGTCCAGCTTTTCTAAATAGTCCCTAACCACCTCTTTCTCCACAGAGGGTTGGCCATCTATTCCCCATGTTGTGATGCCCAGTGCAGCAGTCTGGGAGCTGACCTTGTTAGTGAAGACAGAGGCAAAAAAAGCATTGAGTACATTAGCTTTTTCCACATCCTCTGTCACTAGGTTGCCTCCCTCATTCAGTAAGGAGCCCGCACTTTCCTTGGCTTTCTTCTTGTTGCCAACATACCTGAAGAAACCCTTCTTGTTACTCTTGACATCTCTCGCTAGCTGCAGCTCCAGGTGCGATTTGGCCCTCCTGATTTCATTCCTACATGCCCGAGCAATATTTTTATACTCTTCCCTGGTCATATGTCCAACCTTCCACTTCTTGTAAGCTTCTTTTTTATGTTTAAGATCCGCTAGGATTTCACCGTTAAGCCAAGCTGGTCGCCTGCCATATTTACTATTCTTTCGACACATCGGGATGGTTTGTCCCTGTAACCTCAACAGGGATTCCTTGAAATACAGCCAGCTCTCCTGGACTCCTTTCCCCTTCATGTTAGTCCCTCAGGGGATCCTACCCATCCGTTCCCTGAGGGAGTCGAAGTCTGCTTTCCTGAAGTCCAGGGTCCGTATCCTGCTGCTTACCTTTCTTCCCTGTGTCAGGATCCTGAACTCAACCAACCATGAACTCAACCATGGAAAGGGGAGTTAAATGTGTAAAGATTCATTCCTTTATCGGCATTGGTGGCAATAAATTGGCTGTGGAGTGGTTTGGCAGGTCCCCTCCAATGATGGGCTAGGTTATTGGTTAGGGATGACTACTCTTTGGCTTTTGGCTTTGGCTTTTGAATTAGGTGGGTTGGTGTCTCCTAATTAGTACAGGAGCAGATAAAGAAGAGGGTTTTCTTGGGAAGGAGTCAGGGTTGGTAGGGGAAAACAGTTTATAGACTCCCCTCTAATACTGTCTCTGTAAACAATGAGAGACAAGGTGGATGAAGTAATATCTGTGATTGGACTAATAAAAGGTATTACCTCACCCACACTGTCTCTCTAATATCCTGTGATCACATCTAAGATGATACTATCTGCAAACTATAGGCAGGCAAACAGTGGTGGAAAAGAGGCAGGCTTCAAGACCTCCACTCTGTGTAGCACCAGCTTGATCCCAGCTCTTCTCCTTGTACTCTATTGGAGCAGCTGGTGGATTGGTGCCAGGAGCAGCAATAGTGCATCCAACTTGTGGCTCAGTAGCTGTCTGAATGAGCAGTGTCTGGCTCAGTCCCAACCTCAGAAAGTTAAGCAGACAAGCGTTAGTATTTTGGGTGAGCCTTTGAAAAAATTATCTTCCCATTCTCCAAACAAAACAGTTTACTGTGAATGCATCACTATTTACATGGCTGGCTTTTGGATTTTGAGGAAGGTTATTGAGGTGATCCTTTGGTGTACAAACTTAGCTGACTCCACATAACACGTGTTTTTCTGGGTGCCATGGAATTAGGGAATTTTAGGGATTTTTCCCTCAATTCTTCCCATTTCAAGCTTCCTGCGGCAGTAGAGGAGCCTAGCTGCTGTCTGTGTCTCACAGTTGGTTTACATTTTCAAGACTAACTTTGCGAGGGAGAGAGGTAGAAACTTCCTTTAAGGTGATAGAGAAGATTCTCCTCTCTGGGGCCAAAAGACAGTGCTTATTAAAAGTGCTCTAGAGGTGTACAGTAATTCCCCTGAAATGCTTTGTCTGTAGTGTGATTGATATTCTGCATGGAGTTAATATGCAAAATGACTCCGCTTTCTGGAGGTCTTCGTGCCTTGAACATCATTGATTGTATATGTCAAATAAATAAATTGAGTTTATATAGGATCAGAAGAAATGGTTTGGCCTATGCATTTACTGGGCATTATAAGCCTAGTATGACATCACTCACAGCCAGTTAGAATGCCCCAATTGTGTTAATTTCTAAAGCCTTATAAAACATGCCTTGTTCTGTCTTAATGCCTAATTATCAAACCAAAGTAATAAAATCAGACAGTGAGGAATTTTTCCATGATGATACTTTCACAGGAAATCTTTATTCTCTAGAATTATTTGGTTTTACCCTATTTTACTTTTATCATAACAATAAGAAACTCATTATTATTCCTTTTTATTTTAATATAGGTACATTTAATATCATAATTTTATCCAATACTAATTATTATTTGGAGAATTATATCTATTTTTTCCCCTCAGAATGAAGAAGTTAGGTTCATTGAAAATGAACTGGAGAATCACAAACAGAAATATTTTGAACTACAGACATTCACTAGGAGCTTGATACTTGCTATTAAATCAGATGATAAAGAACAGCAGCAGGTAAGTCTAAGAAGTAGGCAGAAACTATGTCAGACATTTTTTCTTTTGTCATTTTTGTACTTACTTATATTATGGTAGTGTTTACAGGCCCCAACTTAGATTGGGGCCCTATGGTGATCAACACTGTATGGACACATAGGGTATGTCTACACTACAATTAAATACTCGTGGGACTCTGTGAGGGGTGGGTGCCGCAGCCTGGGCTCTAATCTGAGCCCAAATGTCTACACTGCAATTTTACAGCCTCACATCCCAAGCCAGTTGACGCGAGCCAGCCTCAGATGTTTAATTGCAGTGTAGACATCCCCACAGTAAGACTGTTCCTGCCCCTGACATTCTGCAGTCTAGACAGACAATACAGGCAAAGGATAAGAGAGCGAAAGTATTATCTTCATTTTCCAGAGAGGGAACTGAGGCCCAGACCAAAAAGCGACTTGCCCAAGGTTACATAAGAAGTCTGTGGCAGAACTGGGAATTAAAACCAGATCTCCTCAATTTCTGCCAGTGTCTTAACTACGCTCTTTAGTCTTAGTTTGCTCTGAGGGATCAGTATTTTTGTACCGTGTCAAGTGGCTTTCGGAAGGCCAGATCTTCAGCTGATGTAGTGTAGTCTCCAGGGATGTCAGTGTAGACGTATACCTGCTGAGGATCTGGTATTCTGTGGTAACGCATAATGTGATACCAATAAGATAGTAGAGTTTCTTCTAGTCATTCATAAAAACATTACCATTTTCCTCCTCAGTTTGTTAGGTGGAACTGTGGCCCCAATCTAGCAAAACATTTTAATATATTACTTCACTTTAAGCACATGCTTTGGTACATTGTTGGATCAGGGTTTATGTGCACAGGCTGAATACTGATTCAGGGGTGTGTGTAGGTTTGTTCAGCTTTCCAGTCACAAACTGTAAGTTGTGGGGATCATCCACAAACAGTAAATGAATACTGCTGTACAAAAAATATCAAATCTCCAATATCTCTTTTTGTTACATAGCTTTTGATGTTAAAAAATAGTGCAACATTTTGAAGCTAAATTTATACATTCTAATAATTTCTTTTAAAGTAATAATGCTCCTTGTTTATTACAGTATTTAATTTAAGGAATGAGCACAGCTGACAATGTACAATAAAGCTTAATTTGGAGTCTTGGAGGTGTCGCAAACTATGAAACTGAAACATCAATTACAGCAAACTACTAATGATGTTGTACATATGGCCCAGTCCCATGTCCCTTACTCACATGATGTAGGATCAGATCCGTAGAGATGGTCTTATATATTCCCTTTTTTATATAGTTATTATAATACAGTAATTCATTGTCATACTTGAAAAATTTAAATCTTGAGGTAATTGTGCATTAAAATAATCACATTTTTCAAATGAATTTTTAACATACTATAATACTAGAAATAACATTGGACATCAATCTGCTTTTGAAGTCAGTGCAATTCAGTACAGTTCCTTTCAGATTTGGAACTATCAAGGCCCCAAGAAAATACCTGTCTGTTCAAATCTTTAGACTGTAAGCCCTCCAAGGCAGGGATTGTCTCATCTGTGTTTGTATAGACCCCAGCACAACGGGGCCCCAATCCCAACTGGTACTATCTTAATATAAATATTGACAATAAAAATAAGTTCTCCAAATTTAAACAGTAAGTCCAGACATTTATCTTATATAAGCCAACTGTCAGTATTTCTTAAAAAATTATAGTTTCTGCTTCTGACACACCTATAAATCAATAGTACAGAGCCAAGCTATTCATTTGTTACATCATATAAACCACAGAACAGGGTCTAATTTCATGAAAACATTCTGGGAATCCTTCACTATATGTAGTTTCTTTCTTTTTCTTTGTGAGCAAAGGGTATGGTTTGTAGCATTTATTGTAACTGAAACAATTAGCAAGTCTGCATATGTATTGTAAAATATAATCATCCTAAAAATGTCTTTGTTCGGAAAAAAAATGTAGTGGCTAAACTTCTTTAGTTTGTCCTTGAATGTATTCACTCTAAGGTACAAAGAAAATCTAAAATAAATATATGCCATACAAACTAGAAAAGTGTTACTGTTAATGGAAGAACTACAATATAGAATATATCACTGTGATGAACAGACATTGTAGGAGTAGAAAGGAGTCACTGACCAGTATATTAAGGCATTTTTCTTGTGTCCCAAGAAGAAAAGATTAAATTATGAATTTCCCTCTTCAACTACTGATGGTGGGAGGTTCACCTTTGGATAGCCTCCTATGTATGCATCTCAGGATACAGTAGTTTCTATTTTGAAATATGGTAATTTGCCATCACTTATTATGTTTTCATTTTATAGCTGAGATATCACTGTTTTCCTCTGTGCTTGCCAGCAGTAAGCTTGTTATCTGGCAATAGTACAGTGGTTACATCATTTTTGGACAGCATTCTGTTTCTCCTTTAGTGTTGGAAATTTCACCATTTTCAGTGAAAAAATCATAAAAAGTGATCCTTTACTGTACAAAGTACTTAATGAGTTAACATGAAACTTGAAAAACGTGTCCAAATACTAATATTAAAAAAAGTTGTTTTTTTTTTAAACATAGGCACTGCTGTCAGATTTACCTCCTGAATTAGAAGAGATGGATTTCAATCATGTATCTCCAGAGCCTGATGATACCTCATTCAGCTTGTCGTCTTTATCAGAGAAAAATGCCTCAGACAGTTTGTGATCTTTGGAGAAAAATAATATATATATATATATATATATATACACACAATCTTAGACTGCCTAACAGGTGTGCATTTCAAGATAACTGCATTTTGTTACCTGATATCATTCAGTCAACAAAAACCTGGGTTAACTAGGCAGACCTTGTTGAAGGTTGAATGTGATGTGATATGACTGCAACTTGTGGTGACAAGGAATATGGAACTTTGTTTTTGGCAAGTGATAAAGCTACATGGAAAAAGTTCTAGTTTTTAGCATCACAGCCTTGATTAAGGTCATTTATAATTTTCCAGAATAATTCTTGCTTTGTAGCAAAATCTATTCTGAGCAGGGATCCAAGAATGGAAAATAAATTGCAGTTACACAGCCAGGTAACATTTCAGCGTTGCTTGTCATGTAATATTCACCAGTCCTGTTTGTGATCATTGCCTTTTCCCTTGCCCCTTCTAACTCAGGTAGGTGGACTGAAAATTGGGAATCCAGATGGAAAAATGAGCTTGTTATGGGCAAATGGGCAGAGTTGTTCTTGGACCCCTGAAAAAATCTGAATTAAAAGATTAAACTAAGGTGCATATTGGTATATAAGTGCAACTTGTTGAGTCTCCCATTATCTCATAAAAATGTCTGAAAAACACTTGGAAGACGAAGTGAATAAATTTAATTGGCTTCAATAAATTACTAATGTACAGAAGCAGACCTAAATGTTGTAAACCATTAGGCTTTTACTGGAAACTCTTGATTGCTGGAGAAGGCAACTGTTTCTGGTATTCTTACTATAGTGATGGAATTAGATAATGTTACACCAATATTTAGAGTTCTACAGTCATAGTGATGTTTTTATTTCACTTCATTTTATAAAACCTGAACAGTAAAGGCTCTGGTTCATGAAGATTCAAGAATCAGCTACATGGATTTTCTACAAACTATACTCTATTTCATTGCAACAGTGCTGTCAGCCAAGGACAGTTTTCATCCCGTCTCCCTCCGAAGCTGTTTTAGTGTTGGAATCTGGGCCCCACAAATTTCCTCAGCGTGATTCATTGACTAATTAGCCCAATTTAATACATTGTGTCATTCCACCAGCAGACTCCAGATGCTGACAAAGAATAAATTTAGCTGAAGTTTCTAAACTGTGTGCCTGATAGCTTTAGCCACTCTCTGCTAACTTATCCTTTCTCAGCGCTCATTCATACTAAATCTCACATCTCATTTGAATAAATACATTCACCCTGACACATTCAAATAAGTTCAGTATGGTAAACAGTACTGCGGCATACAGCTAGAACTTGGTAATTTCTAGTCTGAATCTTTACAAACTGGCCTCACTAAAACCTTAGGTCACACCAGCTTGAGAGCTAGATTCTTTCACCCTTACGCTGAATGGTACCTTATTCTGTAGTAGTCCCACTGAAATTAATGAGACTATTTACTGTATAATGGGAGTAAGGGTTGAACAATCTGGTCTTTCTAAATGAAAACAGTCTTAAATGTCCAAAAAGGAAAATCAATGCAGAGCTTGCACCCTCTGTCCATCTTCTCTCTTAAACTGAATTCCTGTTCCTAGGTGTTCAACAAACTGCCGTCAGAACTTTTTCTGAGGGACAAATGTATTCTATCATAAATATGGTGTTAATGTATTAACTTCCTTCCAGCCCTAAATCTGACAGTCATTTCAACCCAGTACTGTGAGAAACAATCACTGTACTGTATTTAAATATATTATACATTTAATTTACATTACTATACACCCTAAGACAATAGGTGTGATTTATGATAGGTTTTCTGCTCTGGGTTATTAACTGTACTTTCTCTAGATAGGAAGATCCAGCAACTGACAATAAACCCTCATGTTTTCAGGAAGCTTTACTGAAAAAATTTAAAATGTGGTGTCTGGCCCTCATGCTCCAAAACTTGGACCTTAATTCCCTGTTACTTCTTGACATGTTATGACAAAAGGCAGCATCTTCTTAAAGCTAATTCTTAATTTTGTGGTCTATGAATCTTTTTGCAATTTCACCTTTTACACTAGGTTTCAGAGTAGCAGCCGTGTTAGTCTGTATCCGCAAAAAGAAAAGGAGTACTTGTGGCACCTTAGAGACTAACAAATTTATTTGAGCATAAGCTTTCGTGAGCTACAGCTCACTTCATCGAATGCATGCAGTGGAAAACACTGCATGCATCCTATACAGTGAGCTATAGCTCACGAAAGCTTATGCTCAAATAAATTTGTTAGTCTCTAAGGTGCCACAAGTATTCCTTATCTTTTACACTAGTAGCCAAGTAGAATTTTATCACTGCCATTAGTAATTTTTTATTGTTCTGACCTGCTTTTTTCCTGACACAACATCAAACTAAATCAGCAAGTTCAAATTGGATGAACTGTGCCAAAAACAGAATTCAGTAAACTAGAATCCTGGTTCATGATATACATCTAAAATCCTAGGCTCCACACTCCTTGGCTGGAGTCTGTACTCAGTGTATTCCTTTGAGCAAAATATGCTTTGACTCTTTCTGCAATATAGGATAACAGAACATTTATAATAAAATAGTCATGCTTTCACATCCAGAAACAATCAGCAGCAATGTAGGATGATCAAGAAGAAATATTGAATATGAAGTATGTTCCTATGTAATAAGATGCTCTAGAGAGCAGTACTATACAGTTGTATGAGTACCTCCATGCTTCTCCTCAAAATAACCTTCATCCATAATACCTGCAGCACGAAAAACAAAACTCTTAATGGTGAGTTATTACCAGTGCTAGTTAAAAATATTGAGGAAATATATATTTCCAGGACAGAGGCTGCAGAACAGCAGATTTGCTCTTTTACTGCACGGTATGGTAAAAACTCGGAAGAACAATTATCTCTGAAAGTCATGAGTGGCCATTTCTGAATATTGCATTCCAGCCATGCTCTGTCACCACACATATCTCAAGGCTTCATGATCTGATGTTCTGTTCTCCAGAAAGACAGCTAGATATAATAATTAAATTCACAGGTTCAGATTAGTAAGCATGACATCAGCAAGTCCCCCTATGTCTCTGTCCAGTTCTTTTTTTGCTGCACCCTTTCTCTTGTTTTGGCATCTGGTTGGGGAGCAGTGCTTGTCTAGGAAGGTGCACACACTTTTCATATTAAATGTTTGTGGAGGGTGAGGTTGGAAGGTGCTTCTCCAGTTCTGTGATCAAACACAGGGCTATAGTCTTGGCCAAATTCAGTCCCGACCTCAATGGGTGCATATTCTATTCACTTAAATAATAGAGAATTGTGACCATGAAAGATAGGGCAGAATTTGGTCCTAAGACGTCATATTGTCCATCCATACTTCCAGCTAAATTTGTCATGATAGCTAGCTGATCTGTGTCTAATGCCCAGAAGAGAACACCTTGATGTTCGTCTCCTGAATGAATTCTAGGTATTCTCCAGCTGACAGAAAGCAATGATGGCTCTGTTGATCTTGGACATTTTTAGGATTTTGGTTTACAATTATTTCCTTTGTTCAGAGGCAGATGCTAATTCATCTTCCACTGCACTATAGATTGCAAGGAGGATTTATTTTTCCATAAAAAATGGGAGAAATAATCATAGCTGGTACTATGGTACCACAGAGGAAGTATTAAAAAGCAGCCATTTCACTTCTTTGGATCATAAAGTTAAACAACAGATACAGCAAGAGTGCCATGAGTTGAAGAACCTTCCATCAACTTCCTGCTTTGTCAGTGAGGGATGACTTTAGAGACATTGTTTATTCCTGACACATCTTTTGCAACGTGGATTATAGAAGAGTATACAGTAATTCCTCACTTAACATTGTAGTCATGTTCCTGAAAAATGCAACTTTAAGCTAAATGATGTTAAGCAAATCCAATTTCCCCGTAAGAATTCATTTAAATAGGGGCAGGGTTAGGTTTCAGGGATTTTTTTTTTTGCCAGACAAAAGGCATTATATACATTTTAAACAATTTTAAACAAGCAATTTAATACTACAGTCATCATTGCTGAGTATGAAACTTGGTTGAGGTGGTGGAGTCAGAGAATGGAAGAGGGTAGATTGTCCCCCTGCTCCTCTTGCAAGCATAGGCACTGACTTTGCCAGGGACGGGGGGCTCAACCCTTGGCCCGCCCACTCCATCCCTTCCCCCAAACCCCCACCCTTAACCCACCTCTTCTCCTCCCCCTTTACTCCGTGCGTTGCGTCCTTGCTTCTCCCTCTCCTGCCCACGGCAATCAGCTGGTTTGCGGCGTTCAGGAGGCAGGGGGGAGGGGGATGGAGGGAGAACTTGGCGCGCAGCCTCCTCTGCCTCCTGCCCACAGCAATCAGCTGGTTTGCGGCGTTGAGGAGGCAGGGGAGGGAGAGGGAGCCTGCGCGTTGCGTCCTTTCTCCTGCCTCCTGAGCACCGCAAACCAGCTGATTGCTCTGGCTAGGAGGCGGGGGGAACAGAGGGAAGGCGCTGATCCGCGGGGTCCGCCAGCAGGTGGGAGGCGCTGGGGGGGGTGCGTGGGGGTGCTGATAGGTGGGCTACCAGCCGTGGACAAAGCAGGCGGCCAAACGACGTTATAGCGGAGCATTGCACAACTTTAAACAAGCATGTTCTGTAATGGAGAAGGGATGTAAGTTCAAAACAATGTTAAGCGGGAGGATGTTAAGTGGGGAGTTACTGTATCCTACTTGGAAAAAGCCTAACATGAAAAAAGGCAATTGATAACAGACATGCATTTTAAACCAGCAATAAGGCGCTATCTACCTGTAGGGAGAAATGAAAGTATGTCTCATGCTAGTCAACTTGCTATACCTAGGGAAAGTTGTACCCTTGAGAGATGCTTGTCTTCATTTCCTGAAAATGTTTCCTGTATTGCCTACAGTGCTAACAGGAGTGAGTAGTAATGAATATTTCTAGTCAGTAAATTAAGCAGGTAAGGCTTTAAATACACATGGAGAATTGATCTATTAAGAAGGTGTTCCTTTTCTTAAGTAGTCACTTTTGAGAGTAGCATTGGACTTTAATATTAAAGTACCTTTTGTGTGACCGAAGTCAGTACTAAAAATGATAAGAAAAAAAGAGCTTTGCAGCTCCTCAGAGACAAAGTGGGGAGCAAAATAAGGAGATAAACCAAAAATGTAACATGCCAGCTTAAATTAGGAAGCAGTTAATCACCTCTACCCACCAAATGAAGAGAGAGTATGGGTGTCAAATAACAATGCAGTTATACAATCAGAATTATATGGCAGGAATATGTGTGTTGAAAATCTTATTGTGGAACTTACTGCTGCACAGTGGTCACCTATCTAATAGCAGAACTGTACTATTGTTACCATATTAGTAAGCATTAACCCTTTAAAAACTAGTTGGGTAGTGCTGCTTTTCCCATTGGCACTTAACCATAGCAGATTCTCGCTCTCAGGATTCTGATGGCATGAGGAAAGAAAATAATTAATGCACATGAATGGAAAATTAAGCAGAGCATCTGAAAAATCAAAATTTAGTTTACTGATAACATTACAACCAAAAGCTTAATTTACTGTACTGTACTTTACTACCTCCAGTTCCACTACCCAGACCTGTCAGCAACAACCAGTTATACAGTAGGCTGGCTTATTTATAGAACAGTGTATCTTTATCTTTGAAGCATTCTTTCAACTTTAATATGAGGTTCTGCTTTCTTTGTCTAAAAATCCAAGACTGCATGAGTTAATCAGTTATCAAATTTCTGATCAAAGTCAGAAAATGGCTGGAACAAAATCTCTGACTAACTACTCGTCAGAAGGCATCAATGCCACATTTTGGCATCTGATTTGTCCAGCAAGTTAATATTTTACCACACTGGCTGACCAAATTTTGCAGCCTCAAAAAAGCTATGGGCAAAAAACTAAATTGTACCAGAAGACTGGAACAACCTTTGGCAGATTGCACTGTACCACATTTCACCAAAGCAGAACCCACAGTTTTACTCAAATCTAAAAGCCTGTTTCCCTGTGACCAAAAATGGCTAGCATTCTGCTTAGAGGATGCAAGATACAAAAAAAAGAGTGATTTAACAAAAAAGCAAATCTCTAATCAAGAAATATTAAAAGAATGTTCCTTTAAGGTGAATGCTTTCTGGTAATTTCTGTGGTAATGTTAAGCATTTTCACTGTATCACTGAATAAGTCCTTTAGAATCCTGTGTTACATTTTACACATACTACCTCTGAAACATAATACCACCTTAAGACCACATCAAAAAATGTGAACTTTTTTTGTTTTTTAACTTTATAATGGGCAATAACTTTCAATAGACATATTTTCCTTCAGCTTTATACTCATTTTTAGTAAAGTGTTTGTGTTGCATTTAAGATTTATGCTTTTTAGTTTTGTATATTTTTCTTTAGTTTTCCCTTTTTTTTTTTTTTTTCTCTTCCAAGCTACTCAAACTTTTGACAAAGGAAAGCAATGAATGATGACATGACTCCTAGCAGCAAATATCTCCAATGGCTGGTGATGGGACACTATATGGGGAGGGGTCTGAGTTACAATAGAGAATTCTTTCCCAGGTGTCTGGCTGGTGGGTCTTCCCCATGTGCTCAGGGTCTAACAGATAGCCATATTTGGGATCCGGATGGAATTTTCCCCAGGGTCAGATTGGCAGAGACCTTGGGGTTTTTTTGCCTTCTTCTGCAGCATGGGGCATGGGTCACTTTCAGGTTTAAACTCGTGTAAATGGTGGATTCTCTGCAACTTGGAAGTCTTTAAATCATGATTTGAGGACTTCAGTAACTCAGCCAGAGGTTATGGGTCTATTACAGGAGTGGGAGGGTGAGGTTCTGTGGCCTGCGATGTGCAGGAGGTCAGACTAGATGATCGTGATGGTCCCTGACCTTTGAGTCTACAATATGGGGAAGAAAATATGGCATGTATATGTTAGGGTCAGTGGAAATGTTACCATCTTCTGGGTTCAAATACTGTTAAGATAGTAAATAGCTGTGATGTGTTTGGTGCAGCTATTGCAGGCAATAGATATTGCACTTAGAGAGCTCAATCAGTGCCAAAGGACTAATGTGACATTTCCTAACATAAAACAAATTAATTTCTGTGATGGAGAGCAGCCAAGTGAT